CTATACCGACTCTCCAACGTCCGTTGAAACTCGCCTAGAGTAGGTTACAACTTTCTGCTCTCCTGATGCAGGATCAGTTTGAGCGAAGATTGTGCCTAGACCGACGGGACTTGCATTGATTACAATCTTGGCGTCTTTGTCTGGGTTGAAGTACATGGTAATAGGTGCGTTGGTGAGGGCTTCTTTGAGTTGATTAAGGGCTTGGTTATGTCTCCTGATCCAGAGCCAAGGTGTATCTTTCTGTGACAGCTCCCGTAGGAGTTCAGTGATAGTGGCGTATCCTTTGATAAATTGAGAGTAGTAGTTCACCATGCCGATTAGGCTGCGAACTTCGGTAGTGTTGGTTTGCGGCTGTAGGTCGAGGACTGCATCAACTTTCTTCGGGTCCGCAGAGACCGAAAATATGTATCCGAAGAACTCTAGGCTGTCCTTCGAGTACACGCACTTTCCTATCTGCAAGGTGAGCCCCTTCTCGCGTAGAGGTTGGAAGGTGTTCCTCAGGGCTTGGTCATGTTCCTCAGTTGTCCTTCCATAGACTAGGATATCGTCGCCGAGGTTGACTGCTCCCCGTAGATCGTTGAGAATTTCACAGATTGCGTTTTGGAATATCTCGATAGTGCAAGGTATTCCAAAGTTCAGTCGAGCGAACCGCCTGAGTTCCACGTGGGTGCTGAAGGTATTGATGTAGCGAGACTCAGGTGCAAGCTGAAGTTGATTATATCCTTGGTTTAGATCCAGTTTACTGAAGATGGTTGCGCCGTCTAAATCATTGAGCACCTCTTTGATTGTTGGTGTGATGTGACGTACCCGCTGCACTGCCTGATTTGTTTGCCGCATTTCGACACTCATTCGTATTTTTCCTGGCTGCTTCTGCTTCGGGGCGAAAACAACGGGAGACACCGGCCATGGCGTTGGTCCATCCGCCTTCTCCTTTACACCATTCTGCTTTCTCTGGTTGTTCTTCTGGTTGTTTTGACACATAAAATAGTACTAGTCGGTGTGGTTGGGCTGATGGCGGTACGCTGTTGTCAATAGGTAATTTCACTTGGAAGTCTTTGAGCTTCCCCAGACCGGTGAATAGATTGCTGTATTCTTCTACGAGTTCCGCGATAGCTGGTCATTTTATCTTGGGATGATAAGGGTGCGGCGACCGAGAAGAGTGGTAGATTTTGCGATGCACGCCAGCTGACCAGAGATCCCCCAGCCCCTTTGGTGATGTAAAAATGGTTTCCTGCGACGCCTTGCTGTTCTTACCGACATTGTTCGCTTCAAACTTTCCGAGCATCTAATGGGGTGTGTAGGATTTGTAGGGCTGTACTCTCGTAGATGTAGGTTGGAGTATTGGACGATCAACAATGTTCCTAAAGTCCTTTCATCGAGCAAGTTGATGCTCGATCTGCAATCCACTAAAATATTGAGCCATGTTCCTTTGATTTTCACTTGGAACTAAGGGTGTTGAGCTCTACTTTTGTTGACGCTCCGCACGTGAAGTCGGAACCTATGTTCGTCCCCACTATCGTAATTGCTGTTAAGGGTTTTAACCTTTCTCTGTGCTTCCTTTGGTGCCGAAGACTTTGTTGTCCAGTGATACGACAAACTGACTTGAAGTGTCCGATTTTCCTGCAGCCATGGTATTCTTTTTTATACGCTGGGCAGGCTGTTCAACCTCCCCTGTGTAGATATGCTGCTTGAATCTCATATATTTTGAGGGTTTTACCGTACTCCTGTATGTTTTTCAGTGTTGTAGTTGGCTCGCTGAGGGCTTTTCTTCTCGCTTTTGAAAACTGACCATAAGCTGACCATAAATGTAAAAAAATCCAATTTTGTCATCTTTAGACCATCACAAAAGACGCTTAACTATCAGATTGATATATATAGTTTACGTCCTAGAAAGTGCTTTGTAAGGGGTTTTATTCATGAGTTGTTAGTGTCAAATACCCGAACGAGTGAGGTACAAGCAAGTGAGGGCTTTTGACACAAACAACGAGTGAGTAAAACCCTGTACAAAGCAACTTCTATGTCGTGAGCTGTTTATTGCACATAACACGAGAATTTTAACTGAAATATTTTTCTGACCGCAAATTACAAACAAAAACTCACTAACAATGCAAATTTAATGGCAATGGAAAATATCGCAGTACATGTACATCAAGGGACTAAAGTGCTGAACGGAAAATGCACTTACAAAAGGTTTTTTTTTTAATCCTAGTACGATATCAGTAAAGCAATTCGAGCAAAGGCCAAATCTGTGAGCGCTTTTAAATTAAGAATACGAGCATGTGAGCAGTTGCAAAAAAAATTTGCGAGCACGAGCAAGCGAGCGTCCGACGGTGTAATTTTTTCGAGAAATTCGCTTGGTTATACTTTGACTCGTGAAAGAGCCGTAGGCCATTCTGAGTGGCTGTATAGGGTTTTTTCACATGTGAAAATAATGTGTATAGATTTCTAGAAATGATCAGCTTTATGAAATAAAATTCTCGTTTTGTGTGTAATAAAAGAATATACGATAATGCCTCAAATATTGATACTTTTTTTGAATGTGAAGACTATGTAAAGTTCCTGGGTGTGCTCATCAATAAAAACTTTCCTCTGAATACTTTAATCTAAAGTTACTATTCTCTGATTTTCCCATATACGCATTACGGAATTGCTGCCTGGGGCCAAGCTGCACAATTCTATTTGAGGAAGGTCTTTATCTTACAAAAACGAGCTCTTCGGCTTATGTTTTTTGCTGGAAACAGATCTCTTGCTGTTCCCTTGTTTGTCTCTGCTAATGTCTTATCCCTCAATATGCTTTATTTTGAAACAGTATGTTCTTTTATGCATGACATATCTACCAATTCTGCACCTCAGAATATCTGTTATCTTTTTACCTGTTCATCTGACGTTCATACATACAACACTAGATTTTCTGATGCTGGTAATTTATATGTTCAGAAATCAAGACTGAGAATTCAACTTAATTCATTTTCCATTTTCGTAGCTAGATTGTGGAATTGCCTGAGGCCTGACCTGCGTAAACTTAGAAAAAATCCTTTCAAAAAGTTTTACTCGCGGTACTTGGTAATGAGGATGATTATGTTGATGTCTACGTTAATGTTTAAAATTACTAATTATCATTAATTAAACTCTAGTAGCCATTATTATTAATTTCTTATGTTCTATGTCTTATTATAGGTTCTTGCTCTTCTAATGTAAATCCTAGCTATTTGTGAATATATGTGTATACGTATTTCTATGCATTTACTTAACTGATTTTAATATTGATGTATTTTGCTAAATTCTATTGTAAGTTATACAATCTGCCCCGATTAGCGTTGCTACATGCTGGTTGTATAAATTTATAAATCTGTTAAATTTGTTTGTTATAAGTATAATAAACATCGTATAAACATCGTATAATCGTAACAATTGACGTATAATACTGGATTATTCGAGATTTGATCTCGCGATCAATGTCTGTGAATTCACGTGGCTCCACTAGTTGTACCACACGAGTGTAGTACGTCCTAATTGGCTCGCTGGGATTTTGTTTCGCCTGTCTGAATTTGTATTCTTCAAAGGAAACATTCCTTTTCGGCTCTAAGAAGTTCGTGAGAGCGGTTATGGCTTTCTCTAACGGATCGTCGCCTTCCCATGCTTCGGTGTCTGGTAGCGTGTCGAAGATATTGTTCACTGCCTCGGCAGCAATGCACGCTATCTTGATTGTCCTTGACATTTAAGGCCACACTTAGGCCGGGTTTCGAAATCGCAATAGATATTTCTTCCAGTGAGGAGCGGGGGTTCCTGACTCGCCTGACGAGTCAAATGCATGAAAAAATGGTAGGTTCGAGGCCATGGTGGGTTTGTTCAGCTCGTCGCCAATGTTACGGTGTAAGTCATACGAGGCATTACATGACGAATTCTCCCGCGCTAGGATCATGTGAGAGTGGATTCTCAAAACCATTTGCTATCAAAACAAATCACAAAATGTACACTGTCGTTGAACGCTTCTTCTTTTGAGCCCAACACGGCTTTCAAGATACCTTTTCTCGATCCTCAGTGTCAAAACAGTGATCAAAGCACACTACGTTCCCGAGAAGAGAATCGTGGTTGTGAAGCGATTTTCCGGTGAGGGAGACTCAAATCTGACGATCTTAGCGAAGGAGACGAAGATGTTAGAAATTCTGCGTGTGGATCGCAAACGCCATATTTTTTGTTTATTATACTTGCAGAAATAGTGCTAATTGTAATAAAATTTTGTGTGCGCTTTTTTTGTCATTACATAAAGTTATGTAACGTTACGTAACGTAGCGTGTATTTAACAGTAATGTTCATCGTAGTTTGTTGAGTTTTGTCCAGTATTTTGTTCAGTATTTGTCCAGTGTTTGATTGTTTTGGTCACTCGTTTCGTGCAGCTATTTTCCCACTAGCCAGGAAATCCACAGCATCGCAACAAATGTAAGTTTTGCATTATGTAGTTTTCATCGTTGTTCTCGTTGTAGCTTTCCTTGTGCATTTAGCTTAGTTTCCATTGTAATAGGTTTTCGTTCGCTGTTTTATTTGCAGTTTTATACGTATCGTTTCGTTTCGTGTTGAAAATTGTGCGGTTAGAGTTTCTCCTTACCAATAAAAATAATCAGTCGCCCATGGCAGTCACACTGCAGCATCCTAAGGTTGCTGAATTTGTTGCTGTTTGTCTTCAACCGGTTGCTATAATGATGGAATACGAGTATTTTGTTTTCCTGCTATATCATCTGAGGCTGACTTTCAAAACTTTCGACATTGTAATTAGTTTCCGATGGCGATAGCGTAGCTACTGATAGAGTGGCATCTAGCTCAAGCTGTTCTTATGAAGTATTGAAGTGCACTTTCTTGATTTATCCTCGTTTATTAGATTTGTTAAGCACCTATTCATAGTTATTGTTATGGCTGTATCTCTCTTTAAACTAGTGTTTGAAAGCTGGGCTGAAAAGAAATAAGGTACTTTTGAATGATTGATCATTATTCTTTTTTCGCAGATGACCGAGTAGAAGAGCAGGGGCAGTCTGGCGTTGGACAAGGCGTGATTAACAAGCCAAATATTGGACAAAATTCAACAGGTGAAGAGTCAGTCCTTCCTTCTTCATATTAATCCTGAATTCTTCAGAAAAAAAAGAAAAACGATGACCCCCTTTTCTGTAGCCTTGATAATGAGAAAGACTTTCAGCACAGGCTAGGGAACATTGTAGCGACTCTTTGTCTTTTCTGTGGCTATTTAGTCGTTATTGTCAGTGGTCATTTTTGTAAGTGTAAACAATAACTTATCAAATTGACCCTCAGCAGATCTTAGCAGTTGCTATTTACAACAGTGATGCTTTGGTATTTTAAAGTTGAACCTCACGAATTCGCCTACAAATACAAAATGCAACTCCCATACATCAGAATAAGATCGCCCCATCAATGCTTAACTCTTTTCAGACATTACACAGTTGGCAATGTAAGTAATGTGTACTTTCAGATGAACGTGATAACACTAATGGTGTTGTGTAGGTGATCTTAGAATTTAGAACTGTAGTACATCATCCAATTCCGGTATAAAATCTACCATATTATCATGTAGTGGCTTTAATATAATAGAAATGTTCATTGTCTTTTTCAGATTGTTAAGTCTCCGAAATGTTAATATTATCAAACGTTTTGACTTTTTGGAGTTTTTGATAAGACTTAAGCGAAGATACTTATTCTCCCCAATCATCATCAGACCTTCCATCCAAGTAGTAATGCCCTGGAACTGGAAAAGCTAAATTGCCAGTGAATTCACCATAATCTAATTCATTCAATATTACAGTTCGGCTGGATGATCAAGGACGCAGCACAAATTATACTCCTAAGAATGACATCCCTGAAGGTATGTTAATTTCATAAGAGTGTAGAACCAATGCCACATGCAACTTAAGAAGCCTTCATTGCCATGCTTTCACTGCCCACCTGTAGGAACCATGCATTCTTCTTCCATCGGAGGTGTCCTCAAATGAGCATTATCGTGAGGATGATAATATTGATGACTTTTTTCTTTTTTAACTCTGTCAATTTGATTGTCCTTTCGTTAGAAGTCCTGCTCGCTGACTACTTGTATCAAGTCGAGAGTTTAAGTCTGAAACTGAATTTCGAAACCAAATCAATTTCAAAGAACTGGAAAGATGTTGCAATCAGGTTTGAAGTTCCCTATGATGCCATCCTTCTTATGGAAAATGAGAACAAGAAGGTAGGAGGAAGCGCAATGAGTGATTTGATGCAATATCTGCAAGTATTATGTTATGAAGTGACTCTGAAAAAGTTCGTAGACGTCCTCCAAGAGCTGGGAAGGAACGATGTTGCAAACGACATTATAAAGATGTTCAGAGAAAAAAATGAGAAATTATTAAAATGGAGTTGATTTTTGTATTGAAATTTATATTAGGAAACTCGGTAAAAATGTTATATTATTCTTCTAGGTTTTTGTCAGCCTTTTAGTCTTTTCTCTAGTTGTAAAAGTAGTTACGGGTTTAAAAAAGTTTTTTACCCCAGTTGCCAGTTATGCGATCTGATTGGCCAATTTACCGTTGTCGATAAAAGCACAGAAACGCTACTCGCGTCAACGTGTCACGCAACCTGTCATGAACTGAAAGAATCGTGTTATTTGACGTCGATATTGTGGTAAAAAGAAAAAAAAATCGACAGTGGTTTCGCGTGGACTCTTCAGGGAAAACAATTTGTAATGTGTAGTAGAAGAGACTGTATCTTGTGACTGAATGTATCGCTAAACTGCGATGCATGTACCGTTTTTCAACGACTTTATTTTATTGAACTAGTTTAACTGCTAGACGCTACTGGAGCGTTAAATCGAGCTTTCCACGAGATTTGTTGTGTAATTAATAGGCGATTTTACATGTGAGATCATAATTAAGTGTGCTTAGCTAGCAGTTTTGTTGGGAGCACCTGAGCAAGTTGCAAAGCCGCAAGGGGAAAGAAAAACAGCCAAAAAAAAAACTCTGAATAAAAGGGGTAAGTTTCTAAAGAAATTGTGGTGTTTGTGGTGTCTTCGAGGTAATGGACAACTCCGTCTTTATAACAACAACGTAGTTTTATTTTCGTTCCTATGTTTTCACACATGCTCTCTGTCCTTTATTCTAGCCCATAATAATAATAATTATAATCAACATACGGGACACTACATCTCCCCCTAATTTATTAGAAAAACAAACAAGTAATAAAGTGTTCAAAAAAAAGTTCAGAGTCTCTTATTTCCTTCTGGATAACATTTAACTATGCGCATACATAATCTTGCATCCAGGCGGGCGCTTGCCTGGCATGCACAGGGCGCGAAGCAACTGAAGGTAAGGGGCCAGACGGAGCTTCTGGTGTACCTGCTGCTGATCTGGTTGCTCGACTAGGCGCGGCTGCGAATCTATTTGACCTTTGTCAACAGTGCCAGGATCCACAAACTTTTTCATGTGAGCAATGTTGTGCATTTTGTTGTTCCCATTTGTGTCTTGTAAGACGACAGCATTTCCATCTTTCTGAGTGACAATGTAAGATTCTGGCTCATAGTTTGGTGAGAGCTTGTTTTTATGTGTCTGCTTTAATAATACTTTGTCACCCTCCTGAATATCGCTCTGTTTGGCTCCTCGTGTTCTGTCTGCATATTCCTTCTGGCGGAGTTTTACATGAGCGTCCCTCTCTCTCAGCAACTGTTGCCAATATGCTTCCTTTGCACGGTCTTTGGAGAATTCTACTGGAGGAGGCTTGTCACGCAATTTCCTCCCCATCAGTAGTTCTGCAGGTGACAATCCAGTAACAGTATATGGGGTAACTCTATATTGGAAGAGGAAGTTTTCAAGTGCTTTTCTCCAATCTTTTCCTTCAATGCGAGCAATTCGCACTATCTTCAGAATTGTTTCGTTTGCGCGTTCCACTTCTCTGTTGCTCTGTGGCCAGCAGGGTATGCCTTTCTTGTGTCTTATACCCAGGTATTCTAGGAAACCCTCAAATTCCTTTGACGCAAATGGTCCATTGTCACTGCGTAGAGCTTCTGGTAATCCATATGTGAAGATAGCTTCCATGCTTTTTATCACGCGTTGGGCATCCATTTTCTTCAAGAGAATAGCCTCTAGCCAACGAGAATAATAGTCGACAACAACCAAGAGGTGTTCACCGTTTTAGATTTCAAGAAGGTCACTGAGATCTCCTGCCAGGGTCTATCAGGTAGACTGCTGGACCTCACAGGTTCTGGTTTTGCTCTTGGTCCTACAAGTTGGCATGAACGTATGGTATGTTCCACCTTTTTGTCCATTTGTGGCCACAAATGGACGATGTAAAAGTTCGTTATACTAGTGCATCACTAGTATAACGAACTTTGTTTTCTTTCAGCCCACAAACAATTCTTGACCACAAGTGTGAGGTTTGTAATTTGATTTGTAAAATTTTTTCATGAACTTTTATGATGCTAAGATCTTCTATTATTGTTTTGTTCCACTGGACATTCATAGGGCCAAGACATTGATGTAGAGAAGTTAAAGGAAATGTTTCCAAATTTGTCAAACAATCAAATTACTGAAGCTATGAAGGGTTGCAGAACAATTGATGAGTGCATTTCATCAATTTTGGATACAAAAGGTGAATTTGTTGTGTATTTACTATATGCATACAGTAATCTTACTAAAAACTGAAAACTGAAAACACTGAAAACTGATTTTTGTGTCAACCTTGAGGTTGGGGTTACAATTTTGCTTCTCTTTACTTTAGAACAGTGCTAGTTTTGTCGGTCAGTTAAAAGTAACACCATTATCCGTTATCTTAGATCTGACAAGACACGAGGCCAAAGATGATAAATTTGCTTATGCAGTTTGAAATGGTATGGGTTTCAAAAGTAATGAAATCACTTTTCAGACTTTTAATTTCAGGGGTGTTCAATCGGTTCCCTGCAAAGAAATTAATAGAATGTCAGGGAATCTGTGAACTGTATGAAGATCCCCATTTATGTTCATATCCTGAGCAATAAATCTGTTCGCCGTTGCAATATATTGACTGAAGACGGACAATCTAAACCCTAGTCAAAGTTATTGAAGATTTGAACCTTAATCCTTCAAAATTGAAGATTAATTTATTAGAGCATGTAAACATTGTGACGTTACATCCACCTGATTTCAGTACATTAGCCATTGTAATATGATAATATTTACCCTCAGTCAACACACGCGTGTAACCCAGCATATGCACGAATAAAGGACTGCTCTCACAGACACAAACTCTTGTCTATCGATTGAATACAACGTTACAAACATAAACAATTCTTTTTGTGTGTTATGTTTTAATAACAATAATAGTGCCTTTAAAGTATGAATCCTATAATGACTTTGAGCGGCTTAATAAAACATTTTTTTTACTGTAGGGCATCCTGCTCAGAGGATTTTGCAGAATCTTAGTCACAGTGTGGTGAAACAAGATCAGCCTACCTACCCAATCACTTTTAATCGTTCCAAAAGCTTAAGGAAGATAAAAGAAATTTGTAGAATAAACAAAAATGCAGGCTCAAAATTGCAAAGGTCCCCTGTGGTATATTTTGTATCAGACAGTGGTGACGGTGTGATTGAAGAGGATGCAGCAGATGTCGGGGGTCCGCAGCGAGAGTTTTTTGCCATCGTTATGGAAACATTGTTAAGCAGCAGTGACCCTCTTTTATTCGGAGGCAGTGATGGGCACAAATTGCCAGTACATTCCCAACAGATGGTGTTAAGAGGGTTTTCAATGGTGGAACAGGCAATGGCTCATGTGATTACACACACTGATTTTGTTATAGTGGGGTTGGCAAAGCCAGTTGTCATTTATTTGGAAACTGGTTGCCCAGAAAGTGCCTGTACATCAGTGACAATGGATGACATTCCTGACCTTGAAATCAAAGAGATGTTGGAGAACCTTGTGAAATTTGATGAGAAGGAAGAAAAAGTTGATCATGGTAATCGAAATTATAAGTAAACTGATAAGTCAGTGTGGCGTATCAGTAGCTCTGATGACCAAAAATAATGCAACCGAGGTTGCATATGAGTGCATGATATATCAAGCTTACAAACGCGTAGCTGAATTGAAACAGCTAAGAGAATGTTTTGATGTGCTTGGTCCTGTTCAATTATTGGAATCTCACTGAAAGGTCAGTGGTAAAATTTTCAAGACAACTGATGCAGCTGCTGTAAGGTTTGATATGCTGAAACGCAGAGTTCAGATGGATGCTTTTGATGGTTGTGATGCTAGCAAGAAGCAGGTTTTTACCTTCTTTCTAGACTACTTGGAGGAGACATGTGTTAGGGAATCTGGTTTGTGAATAAGAGACATCTCTTCTTTTGGTAGAATAAATCAGTATTGAAGAAAAATGCTCTGCAATAAAGAGTGGCTCTAAATGAAGATATATCAAATAAAGTAATACCTTTAACATTTGGCAGTGCTGTTAACATTTGGCAGTGCTGTTAACATTTGGCAGTGCTGTTAATATTATTTTTCTCAAAAGTCCGTTAAATATTGTACTGGGGTGCAACTGGCTCACCCAGCTGCTTGTTTTAGTTCAACAAGGTTGAAAATTTTGTTTTCTTCCTATTTTTTTCGATAAATATGGATCCTGATCAAAGATGTTCTACTTTTCTTAACTGGTTCCACACATATGTCTAGAAGCATCTGTGTGCAGTTTTCTCCAAATGAGGGTGACAGATTGCCTGATCCCAATACCTGTACCTTGGAGGTCTTTCTGCCTACATGTCACTTGTCATATGAAGATTTCAAGGGGGCTTTTGACACAGTAATCACAGTTCAAGTGAAGGGCTATGGACGTGCTTGATACATTTTTTTACCGTTGTGCAAAGGAGTATGTATGTTTATGTTTATAATCTGATCACCTAGCTGTACGTGTATCTACCCGGGTGATAATAAGTGTTATGTTATTACGTTAAGCCTCAAAGAACGGTTTGAAGTATTGAAACATCATCGTGTAATACATGAACAGCAACTGTTGTGTTACTTTTTATTAGAGGTTTATCTTCATTTGTAAACAATAGACATGAAGTAAACTGAATATCAGTTACATGTCCTCATTCCTTGGTCTCGCGCTGAATTTAAGTTAACTATACTACTCCTGCTAATTACTTAATGCTAGTCTGCCTCCAGCAAAGGAGACACATCTAATGTAGATGTCTATTCCAAAACAGTCACTGTGCGACAGTGGATCAATGAACTGATTCATGTCATTGCTTTCTGTGTCATGTAAGGGACAGTATATTGGTGGAATTTCCAAAAGATCTCTGCTGCCAGTTGTAAAGGGGACTGGTCCTTCCATATCAATGCCATAGGAATCTATCTCAGCCTAAACCACAAAATGCACTGCACTTAGTGGAAAGTCATCCACAAACTGGTTTTGTGAAGAGACCTGTCACTGCCTAATAAATGTTCATTAAGATATTTCAACAATGAGGAAAATGAGGTCTCACCCCAACCTTTTTTTTTCCAATCAGGAGTGGCCCAAGTGGGAAAAAAGTATCAATTAAAGAAGTCCCTCTGAAGATTGGTAATGTGAAGATGGAAGTTTTCACAAATATTTGTAGAACTAATATCATGACAATTTCAAAGCATTCACATGATGGATGTATTGATAGCATTCATGTAGGTGAAGCAAATTCTGTAAGAGCAAGGGGAGGGGAAGATCCCATTCCTAAAATTGGCCTACTAAGTATCAGTATGGGTTACATTAAAGACCGGTAAATATTAAAGGTGTAACCTTTACATACAAAGTAACATCTTGACCTATTAGAGGGTTTTCACTTCTCATCGGCCCTTCAATCCAAAGCTGGTTTGGAGATCGGTTTCTCTCAGTTGAAAGAGGGTGACAATCCCGTCCACTGCGAAAATCTTCTAGGTGTCGATTAATGCGTGGTTGAAAAACGTAATGTAAGCAGTACAAATGAATTTCATTGTCTATTTGGAGAAGGCCCTGTTCCTCAAAGTACCTGAATGCTTCATAGTAGATGTAAATAACACCAACATACAAGTCACGGCATAGCCGCTCAATTCTTTGGTTACGGACACCCTTTCCTGATGTAAAGCTTCCTCTGTCTGGTCCTCTCAAAGGATGGTGAAACATAAACCTGGCCACATCTTCATTTTCTACTCCTTGATCAGCTCGTATGCGAGAAGGGAGTCCAAAGTTTTCCACAGCTTCCAGAAATGCCCTTAACACAGTGTCTGCCTTGTTATTGGTACTGCAGCGAAGATACATGATTTTCCTGCTGTAACCATCAATAGCAGCATGTGTGACAAAGCCCCACCAGAAGGTGATGGCATTGAAATTAAAGTCACCACTGCCATAAGTGACAATTTCAGAAACAAAATGTATTTTTTAGCCCAGTTAAAAGCAGTATAACTTGGAAAACTTAAACTTGTGGAACTATAGCATATCATTGTATGCATGACTATCATTAAAGACCAAATTCACCCTGAATAAGTTCCTGCAATTTTGCAGAGTTGAAAAATGTCCATTTGAAAATGACAGCCAATTTGTACACTACATTCAACAAGTGGTCAATTTCAAAACAAGAGGACGACGGAGTGAAGCTTTTTGGATGAACATGAGCCTCTACATGGAAGATCAGAAAAAAGAGATATATGTCATAGGTGTGATGTACCTTACAAGCTTGTGATGACCATCCATATGCCACAGAGCCATTGGACATGGAACAAAATATCTCCTTCTTTGAATGATGTTAAGCGAGATTGACCTTTCAATGACGCCTTCTGGGTCCACTCTCCTTATTGACTCCCTCACATGCTTTTCCTGAACTCTATATCCTCTTGCTAAAAGATAGCCAATCATACGCTCGTAGCCACTTTTTGGGAACTGTCGAAGTATACTCAATACGATGGTGTCTAAATCACCCTCGCTTAAATTGGCATATTGAGAATTGACATTCCATTTACACGGAGTCGTCTTTTCGCAGTTGATTCACTAACTTCTAACATGCGCGCCGTGGCACTTATATTAAATTTATTTTCAACGAACATTTCGAGAACTTCCCTTGGAATATTAAAGCCTGGACGTCCTGGAGAACCAGAAAATACATTCTATAAATACATTGATGCATTTTCTATAAACGCACTTGACTGGCTACAGAGTAGCCAGTCAAGTGCATTCCAGAAAATACATTTTCTGGAATGCATTTGACTGGCTGCTCGGCTGGATTTCCCTTAAGGCCTCCTCCACCATATAGAAAATCTCTTCAGCTTGATTATCAAATGTCACTTGGATATTGTAGTTAAGTGATGACATGTTGAGGATATTGATAGCCCCTTCACATTTATATTGAAAATAGTCGGCACATTCTTCACTTAGATTTCCACTATGTACATATCGTAGGACTTCTTGAAACGTTCTTCTTGTGTGGGTAAGCACCACAACTTTTCCATCCTAATCAGAATGTTAAGACAGCTAATTAGTTGATTTCACATCCTCGATTCTAAAGTATCCATCTTATATTTTCGAACAGGAACAATTTTTTTCCTTCTCACAAGATTGACTAAGGTTTTGTTTTTTTACAAACGTATTCTTAAAATTCCTTGCGAACAATTGCGAGTGACACATCAAAGTTTAGAGATAAATGATTAATCCCGTTTGCTCACACAGGCTTACTAAACATTTGTAACTTCTCAGCATAAGTGGAAAACACGAGTGGAGAAGAGATCAATACTTCGCCATTAACCTACTTAATGCATTCTTGTAGCCATCTTTAAATGACTCTCAGTGGGCCTTCAGGGAATCTTGGTGCCCTGTGCTCCTCACTTTGCGAAGCTGTGTCTGTTCCTTATAGGCTGTACCTGTTCCCAATTAGGCTGTGCCTGTTCCAAATAGGCTGTGCCTGTCCCTATTATGCTGTGCCTGTTCCTAATGAGCTGTGCCTGTTCCTAAAAGGCTGTGCCTGTTCCTAATAGACTGTGCCTGTCCCTATTTCGATGTCTGGCTTTTTGTTGTGCCTGTTCCTATTTGGAACTAGATTTTGACCCTGATCCCGCTTTATACGTTAGCCCTTCGTATGAACGAATGAACAAAAGGCTAACGCTCGAAACTTCAGCTTTAAAACTTTTTACGGTGGCCAATTAACAAATGGTAAACACCACAGCGTACACTATTGAGTTATGGTGCACGCGGGAGGTTGCTAAGCACGAAAGAAGCGTAAGAGTCGCTCGAGGCGATAGCCGAGAGCGACTCTAGCTTCTCGAGTGCTTAGCAAACCTCCCAAGTGCATCCATAACTCAATAGTATACGCTGTGGTGTTTACCATTTGTTTTATAACATAACATTGATACATTGTAGCTAAAGAGTTCCCTTTTATTTAACAAATCTTACGTGACCAGAAAAACAATCGCGCGCGGAAAAATAGTCTTTGCATTTGCTCACGTCAGCAGCGTACACCCATGGGCAAATGCGGGACGCTAAATTGACCAATCAGAGCGCACGCTTTACTTTGGTTATGTTATAATTTACATTATCAACTCAGTTGATAAAACCCAAATTACTAAAAAATTAAAAGTCTGCCACATAGGTTACACAAATACAACACCATGTGCAGTTGAAACTAACATTTACGACCGTTTGTTTAGAAAATGCATAATAGAACAATTATTCATAATAATCATCGTATTGATTCGTAAGATAAAAACCTATATGTCTTATGGAACCAAAAAACTTTTTTCAAAAAAGATATGGACTACTTACACATCTAGATTATATTTAAAGACTAATCGATAAAAATAAGAGTTCCTCACTCGATTCTAAAACATACTTAAAAAAATACTAAAAATACTACCAAAAAAAAATTAAGTAAAAATAGTAGAAAGACTATAACTGTAACTAGTAGGTTATATTTAAAAATTGATAGATACTAATCGGAGTTCTTCACTCGACTCGTGTTTAATTTCGGCCGGTGAATAGATTTGTGTCTTAGATTGTATTCCGTGACCTTCAGTTTAAGTATAAGGTTTCTCGTAGGATGTTTCACTTGTTTTGTCTTCGAAAATTTTCTCATCTCGCTTTTCTTATAGATCACAGAAGTTGACCGCCTTGGATATGTATCTCCGCTAGTAACACCGGTCCAGGAAACACTGCACAGTCGTAAGCTCTGTATAAATGCACCGTAGATTGATAGCCTTTATGTCAAATTATAGTTCACCACTAAATTTTCTCCGATGTTTGTTGGTTTAAATGGATCACGTGACGCGATAGTGTTCATCCGAGGACAAACACTATCAGCCCATAGTGCCCGTCCACTTAGTTCAGCTTGAAGGTTGGCTTGGACCATACTTCCTATGTCTCAACAAGGTGGAAAAAACAGAAAATACAAATCAAAACTTTAGTCAAAGTCTTTCTTAAACACGCCAGAAGACTGGACAGCCGTGCGCCGTTTTTAGGACAATTACTGCAACCCTGTAAGGAAATGAAAATTTGTGCACTGGATGAGCTTGAATTCGAAGTTGAAATTCAAGCTCTGCTTTTCTGGGTAGCCTTTGCTGCCATTCGGATAGTGGCAGCACAGGCCATGCCAGAGCAATAAAGGGTTAAAGAAGATGAAACCACGTCTTTACTGAAAACGAAAATCGAGGAAGTGAATAACAAAGAGGATAGAACAACCCAATCAGAAAACATGTCTGAACCGAAAAGACAAAATGAGAGCTCAAAACAAAATTCAAGAACAGAAGGAGAAAACAACCCTCTCTGGTAATTAAACCGAGTGAAGTGAAACAAGAACTTGTTAACTTGACAAGATACAACGACTTAAGGAGGCTCGAAAGGGTTTTCCACAATTAACAGCAAGTGCCAATCAGTAAAAGATATCAGAACTGTCCAACTTATCATCAGGATAATGACTTGACATATGCATAACACTATGTTAGGGCAATCTTTTAAGGGGGCTCGCCATGGCAACAGTACAGTGGTGCTAAAAGACCCTCTAAAACTCAGTTTTTGAAAGATATCTCAAAAACCAAGTCGGTGACCTAGCTTTTTTTTTTTCAAATTTCTTAAACATCATCATATTCTCTACCTGTATACGTGATATTAAAAAAAACTATCCAGTAGAACTTGAATTATTGAGGATAATGCTGTTTTAAAATGTAAAAAAATTTCCACTAGATAAATTTTTTTGAAAATTTTCTTTAGGAACGCGTAATGATGAAATTAATTTTTACCCAAAAAATCAGGGTAGGTCACCCAACTAATTTTCGAGATATTAGTTCATAAACTTAGCAAGGTTTATTTCCGGTTTTTGCAATTTTAGCTCACACTTTTATATCTGGTCACGCGTTTTAAACGATACCGCTGACTCAAGGGCTCATTTTCGCGAGGATGAGTCTGTGTCTGCGTCGTCCGCGCGATTAATGGACGGATGCACTCAGCGCGGAAAAAATCGTTCATCCTGAAGATGGATTCACCTTGTTTTGTGATTTTGCACATTCTTGAAAAGTGAGTCATCATTTGAGACTCAGACTGCTTACCGTTATGACAGTTGGAAATATATGAACTCCGTAGAGAAACTCCGGAGGGAATTCTCTGGCGGAATTGAATTCGATATATGATGACAAGTTGATTTTGCCGATGGCGCCAAGGCAAGTACTCCATTGAGGCCGTTAAATGTTGAGTTTCTCGTACATTGATTGTAGTGTAACATGAGACAAACCAGCATCTGCCAGCATCTGGACCCTGTTTGTCGAAAGATGAAGCTTTCCATCGAACGTCTGGATGGTATCTTGTCGCTGTTCCAAGAAGATGGCTTGATCGAAGGCCTCATTCGACGATGCACATTTACCATGATGGACTGATATAACTGTTCATGTGAAATTTGAAGTGGAAGAGTGAAAACAATTTGGAGTGAAAAGAATTTGCTTTGACGTCTTCCAAATTGTCACGAGCGTCAAACTCGGTCGAAATTAGGGTTTCATATACATCACACACGTCACAGATTTCTCGAATTTCCATAATTTTCGAGGTACTAGAGGTATGAACAAGCCTTGGCTTCATTTTTCTTTTTTTCTCTTTGCCACTGTCATAACCATGAACTTTCATTATTCCGTTTAAGTGGAAAACAAAACAAATTTTGCAATCCTTTCTTATCAAATCCGAGTTTGCATTTTCGTAGTTGTAATTTACAGTTTATCAAGGCAAATATTAACATTCTTTCTCACAAGTTAAAGATCAATAATTTTTTTTAATTTTACCGTCTGTGGTTGAATTACAATTAAAGTCAAGTCCGCGTTTTACTGGTCAGCGTTTTACTAGTCCGTGTTTTACTAGTCTGCGCTTTCCTAGTCCTCGTTTTACTAGTCCAGTCCAGTCCAGTCCACGAAATACCATATGCCTGTTAGAGACAAATATATGGAAAATCAAAATCTTAATTTGCGGCTTTTTTCGCGAGACTTCATTTCTCAAATTTGATCGGTAAACTGGTAGGTCTGGTATCTTTAGTTTGTAATTCATAGAAATTGCACGATGTCAACCTTCCTCAAATTATCGAGCATCATTTTCTCAACTTTTCCCATACATTCACTGTACATTTTGCGTTCGCCCCAGCAGTTTTGAACCTCCGGCAAAATGGCGGCGTTAACCTTGAAAGGGTCTATTTTGAAACGCTCATGGCGGCAATGTTTGTTTACAAATCGCCCGCGGATCTGATCGCGTGC